CCTCCGCCCGCCCGGAACTTTCCCTGCAGCGCGGCACCCTGCTGGGCGCGTCGGCAACTCCCGGGGGACGGGCCGGGAGGGTTGTAATTAGGAGGTGAAAGGTGAATCAAACTGTGGCAGGTCCGTGCAGGAGGCGGACCTCGGGGACGCTGCCACCCGCCGCCGCCGGGCCGGAGCGCGCTCCGCCGGGAAGGAGTGCGGGGCTTCGGGTGGTCTTTTTTCTTCCTTTTCTGAATGACCCGCCGGCACAAGTGACTTCAAAAGCAAACAGAGTTCGTGCCCCAAGGGTGCCGGCTTAGGTGCGGCCGCGACGGTAGCGCGCCCAGCCCCCGGCTCGGCAGGGACCCTCCCCGGACCGGACCGGCCGGGCGCCCGGCGGCGCCCAGACTCCGTCCCGAGGAGGGGCGGCCGCTCTCACGTGGCCGCAGACAGACTGACAACCGGCTGAGCTCGCCGGGGACCGCACTCGGGTTCTGAGCGAGCTCCGCGGAGGCTGCCCGCGCCGGACCCGGCATTCTGACTCCCAGCGACGCCCCGGGGCCAGGAGGGCTGCCCCCCTCCACCGACTCCCAGGGTTGGGGGCCTGCGCCGAAGCCACTGCCGCTCCCCCGCCCTCGGGGTGACCGGCCTGGCGCTTTATCCGCCGCGCCACCAGGCTTCATCCTAAGCGCAACTCGAGCCCGCCGGCAAGTACCCCTGGAGGGAGGCTCGCAGGGCGCGCCTGCAGCATGGGAGCTGCCCGGTGGGTTCGCACCCTGCTCCTGCCCGGTTACTTGCTGGTCCTTTGGATGGGAGGCCACACAGGGGACACCACCCATCCCCGGCTACGCCTGTCACATAAAGGTAGGTCACCTTTCCGATTCCTTCTGTAAAGGAAAATGGGGGGCGGTGGGGGGTGAGAGGTGGAGGGGGGGTGTCGTTTAACAGGAAATGCACCTGGAAAATTTGATGGCAAAACTGACTTAAGACTCTAAGTACCCCTAATGAATATGTCAAACTCACTGTATCTGAATTTGTACCAAATCCTATGTCCAGTGAGAGGTGTTATTTTTGTCTAGTTAAATGTGGGGCTTCATTAAAGGCAAGTTCATTCACTAGAGGAACAGCAGAAGATGGTCGAAAGCAGTTGTCAATAGACCTGAGAGTGGACCTGCCAAGTTAGCGGTGGGCATTTCAATAGCAATGTGTGCCCTCTGGGAGAGAGGAATGTTGGGAAAGGGCTTTGGAAGTAAAGGTGCAATTTGGCTTCTTTTTTCTTCTCCCTAAGGAGAAAGAGGAAAGAAAATTTCCAGAGTCCGAATGATTCTTTATCCATGATAAGGAAGTCATCACCATGCAATTAAAATGACTAGCAACTAATATAAATTAGCTTTCTAGCTGGATTGGTCATAACATCGTTATGTGTGACAACACACAGAGCCAGTAAATAATTCTTATAAACTGATTTTTATAGGTTTAAATATGGGGTTGTATTCATTAACTTCAGTCATTTTTAATGTTACTTTGTATTGCTTTAATATTAATCAGAGTATATATGTTTTCTGCAACTGTGTTTTGTAAGCTGGTACCATTCTCATGAATAAATGATCAAAAGATAGGCTTTACAAAAGGACCAATTAAAAGCTAGCCATGAAAATGGAATGGTGATTCCTACTGAAAACAAGCAACGAACGAACGAAACAGAACCCACACTTAGAGAAAGTGACTTGGCTGACTTAAAAGAAAATTGGAATAAATTATCAAGAAGGATGTATTTATTAACACCAGCCATTGGGACAGATAACAGATGCAGTAGTGAGGATTATATAAGGACTTTTTTTTTTTTAATGATGCAAGCTTTTAAGTGGTCCCTCACTGCAGAAAGAACAGAACCATGCATTGGAAAAATAGACCTGGAATATTGTCAGAAGAAGAAACAAAAAGGAAGGCCTGAATTTTGTATGACACCATTGGTCTAGTCATCCTTTTATTGGACAGTCATAAGTGTGCCTTGACTATGACAATTCCCCGATCTGTAGGGTAGCAGACAGCGATAGGTATTTTCTTAGTTTAAGTAGATTTCCCATAAAACTCTTGAATGGCTAACATACATTGTAGAAACATATTGATACTAGATTATTTAAAATCTAGTGTCCAGCATTAGCACACATCTTTTGGTGTGGGAAGATATATCATGGGATGCATCACGATCGTTTTCTAGGAAGTTATGATCAAATACACCAAGACATGAAAAAAAGGATGAAGAGATGAGGATGGTACAATATAATAAGTGGATTGTTTTCTTAATATAGAGTGTAATGTTAAGTGAGTAAATTGCCAATTTTAGTAAACTATCATTTTCCTATGCCAAGTATTAACCTTTTATACTTCATGATGGAGATACTGTTTTATGATGATTTAACATCAGTATGTTTTCAAAGGTATTATGTTTTAATATTGCATTAGCTTTTTGTTTGTCCAAAGGATATCAGAAGTCTCTGACACAAGTCACTGCTATGCATCATATAGTTATCAGCCTCATTATCACTATCTCTCTCTTAATCAAAAAAATAAGCATGTAATTTTATGAGATTTGTCATTTGGTGTAGGAGTAGACCTGCTATTATCTATGTTTACACTAGACTGAATACTTCCACGAGATTTCCTCTCAGCTCTTCTTACCTATTGATTTGCTGGCATCAGCTGAAAATGTACAAGACAACTATGCTTTTATACAAAGACAGTACTGAGTTTCCTGAAATTAGAATGTTCACACTTCATGTGCAATTTAGTTAGCTAAGAGGTTACATTGTAAATGCAACTTGAAGCAGCAAGTGCCTATTGTAGCATATGAGCCTCAGTAAAAGAAACATCACGTGTACTGTGAAAACAGGAATATCCAGTCCCAACAACCTAATGTGAGCAACTCTTTTACCCTTCTTCTTGTATCCATAAACTAGTGATAGAATATTTCAGAGTATAATCTTGAGCAAGATTTGTAGTGGTAAAATTTTACCCTGGGTGCATTTCGAAGGTTAATTGTAAAAATGGGTTCTTTGTCCTTCAAAATAAAGCCCTACTGGGTAGACCTAATGTAGAACTTCTGTACTGCTCCCTGACACAGCTGAGAAATCCCTGAAGGTGGCCTATTGGATGAACCCAGTGGTTCTTTTCATGGTCATGGCCAAGAAGGCCAACTTTTTTTCCCCTTATATTTTCCAAGTTCAAATGGCACGTTAGACCAAAAGCCTAGTTCCACAATCCCGAGGAGGAGAATGAGTGTCACGTGTAAAGTTTGATTTTTGCACATAAAAGATTATAAATGTTTAAATAATTGGTCCATCTCTTTCCATTTTTGGAGGTAGCATGTTCCAGCTTGAGGGGAGGAAAACATTAGAATTAAAGATGAGCAAAAACAGAGCGAGAGAGAGAGGTTGAGTAAGTCACAGCCAATATGAGCATCTTCGAGTTTACTTCCCACTACCTTCCCCCGCCAAGCAAGATAATACCGAATACCTCACTTTCCTTACTGACCACACTACACCACTCTAGATAGGAAGTAGAGATCATTTAAGACAATCCTACTGGATTTTGAGGCAGTTTCCCCCTCTATATTTTATAGGTTCAAAATAAATTGTGTCCACTTAAACACATAAATAGTAGAGATTAAGATGAAAAGGTGCTGTCTTGCTTCACAAAATTTTTCGGTTAAGATTTTAGTCAAGATGAACTCTTGTTTTAGAAATATCTAAAAATAAATGATTCGCTATGAATTATAACCAAGTTTACCCTGCCTAAAGAAAGAGTAATATGGATGTGATCAATGCAAACTTATGACATTCTACTTCACAATTTCCTTTGAAAAGTAGTTTCACGAGAGCTTCCAAAACTTCGTGGGAAAATGAAATTAGAAGAGTTTTCTAATTTTTCATTTTTCCATGAATTTTTGGTAGCTCCCTCATAGGATCCCCATCCCCAAATCAAAGACAGACTGACTGCAGTGAGATTGGCCTTGATGGATTCAGCCACTTCCCACTGTTGATGTGTGTCCTCCTCTTATCTTTCACCATCCTGCACTAAAGAGGTTACAACCAGGAAGCAAAAATAACCTTCTTCCAGAAGAGAAAACAAGTGAGGAAAGCCCCAAGGCAAGGAAGAATCCCAGTGCATGTGGGAAGCTCTGGAAATTGGCAACTTGGCCAACACAAGGTGTTCCAAGTCCCAACAAAGAATGATGCAGTCATAGAAGCCAAAGAAAGGAATGACGTCTTAATTAGAGGAAGGTCACCTATGAAGTTGTGTAAAGTGATTCCTAAATAAAAACATATATAACCTCCCTCCTAAAATGATTGACATTATAAAGGGAGATTTGAGCAGTGACTATATGTCCATATGCATAAAATAGTGATAAAATGAAAACCAGACCCGTTGTCAGTGAGTAGATTCCAATTCAGCGTCATCCTAGAAGGTAGGTTAGAACTGTCTCATAGGGTTTCTGGGACTGTAAGTCTTTATGGAAGCCGCGAGGTGGGTGGGTTTGAAAGGCAAACCTTTTGGCTAGCAGCAGAGTGCTTAACCAGGATGTCACTAAGCTCCTTAGAGCAGAGATGGTATTAAACAATTTCTCTGATTTGCTATTTGAACCAATTCGTAGTTTAGAGAACTCAATTTGAAATCGGAGTTTTATTTTCCAAGCCCAATTCTCCCCTTACAGTTATGGTAATTACCCGAGTCTCCGTCTCCTCATTTAGAGAACAGATCACGATGAAGCTTTCTCTGCAGGTCTCGTTGGGATCTTGAGAAGAGAGTCTGGAATGAGAACACCTGCGAAGCCCTAAAAACACACACACACACACACACACACACACACACACACACACACTCGGAGTAGCCTCAATGTCTTCGGAAGATTGCTTATTTAAAGACTGATCTAGACATCGAAAAGGTGGGAAGGAATAAAATCCTAAGGAAAATATTCTATGGGTTTAGGGATGTCATGGGTTTAGATTTCAGGATAATTTTAATGTAGAAGACAGAGTAAGTTGGCCTTAAGAAGCACATAAAAAATGTGTAGTATACCCTGATAGATCACATTCATTCTGAAGCCCATCTTCTATACCTTTGACCTCTATATGCAAATAATAATTTAAAGTGGCTGTATCATCCAGCCCTTTTCCAGTGAAGCACCTGGAGCCTGCAGGTATCTTTCCCAACACATCAGCCACACATAGATTCGTGAATTATACTTAATTAGTTTATACCACACGTTTTAGATTTTTTTAATTGTGAGGAAAAGGTTGGTACGAATTTCTAGCCAAGCAAAATGCTAAATGGAAGTCCTGAGGAGTAGGCAGGCGGAAGACTGTGGTGCTTTGTACTATATCCAGGGCAAATAAAAAGACCATTTTTCTTGATACAGCTCATAGTTTGGGTTTCTCAGTTAATAACCAGGTATTATCATAGCAACTTTCGTCTTGCACTGTGTGGTTAATAAATAAAAACTGGTCATAATGTCTGATTCATAAGGTAGTTAAACAGGACCCAGGAGTAAACACTAATGTGTGTGCCAAAAACTCCATCAGAGAGAGTCAGTGAGAATTAAGTGGTGAGTTTATGAAAAAACAAACAGTTCATACTTAAAAAAATTGCTGGGTAAGAATAAAAGGAAATAGAGTATATTTTGTTGTGCTTAGTTTTCATAGAATATGCCTTCTCTAGATGCTTTCTATATAAAAATTTAGGTAGTTTAATTAGTATTATTTAGATAGTTCTGTATTTTTATATGTGTTTTTGACAAATATTCCCTGTACACTTTATCAGTGCATTTGGATATGAAAAAGCCCTTAAGTGATTTTCTGAATGAT